CTGATGTGCAAGCATGGTGAGCATGCTGCCATTACATTTTGTTCATTATAACCAGGGATCTTTCTAAGGATTTTATCACACCAAGGTTTATAGTTACACAGTGATCTGCTGGCTGCCATACACCACACATTTTGAAATACCGGTAGGAAGCAGTTCTCAGAAATTCCTTCTCAAATGACATCAGCTGTATTAGATATAACCTGAAAAATGGAAATCAAAAGATTAACATTTCCGCCGTCGGAAGGGACATTGGGTTTAGAGCTTCTGCTGTTCCACGTTGCTAGCAGCAATACTAATACAGCAAACGCTTTCCTCTCCGCTCACTCCCATTCACACAGGGTAGGGTTACACAGGTACAGAACTAGTGGGCTATCCAAACCGCTAGGCAACACAGGCTGTCAGCCTGAACTTTGCCAGGTGGCATGAAGACACAATCCATCCCCCTGCCCCACCACCACCACCATCAGTCCTTTAGGAATTCTGGCATAAAGGCTCAAAGGCATAGTTACAAGTTACTTGCTTAGGAATCATCCCTGTTTCTGGCACCCAAAGTTGCATCCCTGGTCCTGGGGCCATTGCATCAGGGAAAAAGCAAAAGTTGAGGTGATACAGGGAAGAAATGTACAGAATCTATCCATCTAGCCGTTACCCTCTCCTATAGGGGTAGAAGCACCCATTCATGTGAGCCAGCCTTTTATACCTATATCTCCCCCCATTTAGGACAGCAAATTTTGTAACTGCCCACTCCAATTCTTTATTAGACCATTACTCTGAGGATGCTAAGAAATATGATTATATCCATTTGATATGACAGCTCTTTACCCACTCTTGGATACTTATGTTGCTTAGTCTGAAGAAATGTAATTCAGCAGCCCAAATTGGTACAGTATCTTCTGTTCCAAATCTTCAGTAGTACTTGAGCATTTGCATCTATCACCAAGTATGCAAATCCCATATGGGTTAAGCATCCATATATTTCAGGACCCAGTCATAGCCCCCTAGGCTACCTGCATTGGTCCAGTATAATACCCTTGCTAGCTATGTGTGGTGCTTTCCTCCCAGGAATCGTCCTCATAGCCATCTGCAATCTCTGCCTCTCTTGTTGACATAACCATTCTTGTTGGCATTTTGTGTCTCAGAGGGTACAAGAAGACTGTGTCTAGGTTCAGCCTATCTCTGCACAGCTGCAGTCCACACTAAGCCCACTCAATTCATGGATCTAGGTGGCCACTTCAAGAGAGTGCACCAAGAAGTCCATTTGGTGGTTCCAATCACCTTCTGAACCTGGAAGGGGGTTCTTCTGATGGGCATAGATATGTCTTACTTTATTGCAGCTCTCAAATTTCCATAGTGATTTCCACAGAGCAGTGTCCCATATGGGCATCCCTGCAGTAAGCCAGATTTCCACTTTCCTTTTGCATGACCACATGGCCAAGCCATCAGCCTTCACCCGTGAGTCAATAAAAACCAAAACATAGGGACTCTTGTCATTGTTCAATTCTTCCATCACTGCTAGAAAAAGAGCATGCAATTCAGCCCACTGAGTTGATTTGTTTTTACCTTTTTCAGTCAGAGTGGTGGCATTCCAAAAAGGATGCTATCCATTTACCTTGGAACTGCCATCCATAAGCCAAACAGCTCTTTGTTGGTCAGTCCAGAACTGTTTCTAGGGCACTGTCCAAATGATAATAGAATCTGGCTGCTCCTAAAGCAATTCCAAATTCAGCCCTAGGGAAAAGAGGCTCATGAATATCTCCTCCTTGTATCCCTTTAGTAGTATGATCTAGTATAAACCATATCCATTTTAGTATGGAACTCTGCGGGCACTGTCCTCCCCATTAGAGTATTGTTTCAACATCATCCAAAACATCATGGGTATTTCATATTTCAAGATTATTTTATATCCCTCAGTCATAAGGGTAGTTTCAATTAATATTTGACAGCAAGCTAATAATTGCCCTTCATCTGATATAATGAACTGAGTATCTGTTTCCACCAACATTCCTATGTTGAAACCCTACTCCTCAATGTAATGATATTTAGGAGGTGGAGCCTTTGGGAAGTAATTATGATTAGATGAGGTCATCTCATGAAAGGGATTAGTGCCGGGGCGCCTGGGTGGCTCAGTCGTTAAGCGTCTGCCTTCGGCTCAGGTCATGATCCCGGGCTCCTGGGATCGAGCCCCGCATCAGGCTCCCTGCTCGGCGGGAAGTCTGCTTCTCCCTCTCCCACTCCCCCTGCTTGTGGTCCCTCTCTTGCTATCTCTCTCTGTCAAATAAATAAAATCTTTAAAAAAAAAAAAAAAGAAAGGGATTAGTGCCCTTATAAGAGTAATGAGAAACCTTACTTCCCCACTCCGTTCCCTGCCATGTTCAGATATGACCAGAAGTTGGCAGTCTGTAACCTGGAAGAGGGTCCTCACCAGAATTTGACCTTGCTGGCTCCCTTATCTCAGACTCATCGCCTCCAGAAATATGAGGAAAAAACTCTGTTGTTTAGTAGCCACCAAGTCCACGGTACTGTGTCATAGCAGCCCAAACAGACTAAGACAAATGAAAATTCTCTGGTCCAAAGTCCTAGTCGTCAATGCTGGGAGACACTCAGGAGCTTATGCCTGAAGCCCCAGTCTACACTCCATACCGAGAATCTGTCTGTGCTAGCCCTCCAGCTTGTTCCACACTGTGTGGGCTCAGATAATTTTACTGGTTCCCATTTAACATGCCCAATTAATATTGCTTGAAAGGCAGATTCACATGCTTTCTATTTTAAGGGACCAGCTCTCCAGTCAGACACAATGTCTATCCACAAAAGACATTCAGGTAAAAGAGACACAACTGCAAACACATTCACGTTCCTTCTATACCCAATTTGTTGAGGGTTTTTATCGTGAAAGGATGTGGCATTTTGTCAAACGCTTTCTCTGCATCTAATGAGATGATCATATGATTTTTATCTTTCATTCTGTTAATGTCATGTATCACATTTATTGACTTACCTATGTTGATACCTTATGGCTTTTAAAATTTCTACAAACCAAGGTAAATACAGGGACTAGTTTAGAGCACTTTAATGTTGGAGGACCAGCAGGGGATCCCTTTGATCCACCCAAAGGATGTGCTGTATTAAAACTTTTGTTTCAACCCTATCAATGTCTATTTTATTCATCCCATTTCTTAATAACCATCCAAAGATTTTCACTCTGTGGGGATGATTTTCTTCAATCTTGTCTTTTTTTTCCTCTTTGTTTTGCTCCTATCAATATTTGCTTTATTCACCCCATTTCTTAATAACCATTTAAAATTTCCCACCCTGCTAAGACAAGTTCCTTGACTTTCCCCTCTGCCTCTGCATTCTCTTATTAATTAATCTAATGTTTTTATCAGTACGTGTAAGGTCCAGGAGGAGAAGGTGAGACAGCAAATTCAATTCAGACTTGCTATACTGTTGCTCGATAGTGCAGCAGTAGGGTTTCACCAGACATCCATGCAAAAGGGACCATGAATTGGTAAGAGGCATATTCAGTGAGTGAATATCCTGATTATCATGAAGCCAGTCCCATGTGGCTTGCATATGAAGCTTATCAGCTGCTTCATCTGGGGTGTTCCACTTGGCCTTTACAGAGAAAGTCGGTCAAGGTCTGTTCTCAGAGTTAACAGTCGCCACAGGGACTGTTCCCTTCGGAATAACCTAACGTGTGTCTGGATCATGTACTGCCATCTGTGATTGTTCCGTAGTGAGCTGTGGGTTCTGCATCAATCCAAACATGCTCTTCCACTGCACAGCATTCAACGCCAAAGAATCTCTACTGCTCTTAATTAGTCATCCTCACAGTCCATTTTAGTAAATACTCTTCAGAAAGCTGACGATACCAATCCACAAAATGAGACAACTCTTTTACACCATACCCCCCTGGTTTCAATAATTTCTTGATTTTGCCTTCCCCATACATGGATTACCTTCTTTACCTTCTTAGTGCCAGAGGTCGTAGAAGTATTCTTTGCTGTCTTATATAATTTTTCCCTTTGGGAGCTGCTTTGAGGCTAGTGGTCAAAACTCAGACTAACCAAACTCTGAGTTTGGTCTAGCATCAAGATCAGACCCAGCACTGTTTTAATTTCATTTTAGCTATTACAGATAACAATAATCAAAGGATTGTACATTTTGTTTTTTCTTATTGGTTTGCTTTTCCTTATGCAACTCCCTGGGAGTTGGATCCGTCTCTAAATTCCACTGGCAAGCTTTACCTTTAGTTATGATTTAGTAAATCTAAATGTAATTCTGATACTACCTACCCAGAGCCAGAGTCAGACTCTCCATGTCTGAGGACTCATTCCACAAGGCCACCCTCACTTTAGACACCAGTGGCCAGTATCAGGTCCCCAAGGTCACCACACACGTTACCAAGTTGTCAGACTCAGCTACAAAGTCAGGGTTTCCCACAAACCCCCTTCCCCAAGTTTAATAATTTTCTAGAATGACTCACAGAACTCAGAAAAAATGTCATACTTAGTATTACTTTTTATTATAAAGGATATAAATGAACAGCTAGATGAAGAGGTACATACAGCTAGGTTCAGAAGGGTCCTGAGTACAGGGGCCTCTGTCCCCCTGGAGTTGGATGCACTACCCTCCCTGGCACATGGATGTGTTTGCCAATTCAGAAGCTCCTTGAGTCCCATCATTTAGAGATTTTTATGGACGTTTCATTACATAGCCATGATTATGACCACCTGTGATTAACTCAGTCTCTAGCCCCTCTCCTTTCCCCAGAGGCTGGGGGATGGGGCTGAAATTTCCAAGCTTTTAATCAAGACTTGATCTTTTTGGTGGCCAGCCCCCATCCTGAAGCTGCCTAAGGGCCCCCCAAGAGTCACCTAGTCAGAACAAAAGAGATTCCTATCACTCTTATCACTTGGGAAATTCCTGGCATTTTAAGAGCTCTATACCAGGAACCCAGCAATACAGGCCAAATATTTTTGGTGGCCAGCCCCCATCCTGAAGCTGTCTAAGGGCCCCCCAAGAGTCACCTAGTCAGAACAAAAGAGATTCCTATCACTCTTATCACTTGGGAAATTCCTGGCATTTTAAGAGCTCTATACCAGGAAGCCTTTGGCAATAAAGGCCAAATACCCTCCTTCTTATACCACACAGAGAGACCAACAAAGGAAGCTGAGAGGAGAGACACATAAAGGAGGAAGAAAACTAGGAGAGTGTGGTCCTGAAGCCAGGTGAAGAAACGTTTTCAAGAAAGAGGAAGCGACTGACTATGTAAAAAAGTCTCTGGTGGCACAAGAAAGTTGAAGAAGAATAAATGATCACTGGATAAAACAGTGGACACATGATTGGTAACCTTTATGAGAACTTTTTCTCTGGAGTAGAGGGGATGAAAAGTCTGTTTTGAGCAAGTTCAAGAGAGTGTGGGAGGAGAAACATTAGGGACCATGCTGCCCTTAAAGGGGGATATGAAATCAAGAGAGATTTGAGGGTTTTGTTTGTTTTCATTTTTAAGATAGGAGATATTATCAGCATGTTGCTTTGCTAATGGAAATAATCAAGGGGGGAAACTGGTAATTCAAGAGAGAAAATGGAAACTTCCTGGCACTCTGTCCCTGAGTAGAGAAGGGGGCATGGGAGCTAGTACACAGGTAGATGGGTTGGCCTTATGTGGGACCAGAGAGGGGCATCCATAATGACAGGAAGGAATGCTGGTTGGAACTAAAGCAAGTCTTTTCAGATTGCTTTTATTTTCTCCAATGAAAAAGCTCATTAGCTGAAAGCACAGGACAGAGAGAGTGTTGGAAGTTTAAAAAGAGAAAAGATATAAAATGCTTGACACAGGGATTCTCAACTGGCCTGTAGACATTTGAGGCAGGATAATTCTTTGTGGGGACAGTGGGGACCACCTGTGCATCACAGTATGTTTAGCAGAATCCCTGCTCTCTACCCGCTAGATGCCAGGAGCACTCCCTGCTCCAAACTGTGACAACCAAAAACATCTCCAGACTTAACCAATCCCCTTTGGTGGGGGGGAAGGGGTTGCACAAATCACCTCTGGTTGAGAACCACTGCCTCCACTAGGAGACAGAATGAACGGATTAGAGAAATATAAACAGATTGTGGTCATCTTGAGGCTCACTTGAGGTTAGTGGTCACGGACTGAAAACGAGGCCACTCAGCTTGCTTGTGTGTGTGTTTTCCATCCATGTTCAGCTGCACAGGATCAGAGCAGACAAGTAGTTAGTACAACAAAGTCAGAAAGGGGCAAAGAGTTGAAGGTGTATGTAAGTAAGTGATTATAATGATAGACTGTTAGTCAGATAAGGAGGAAAGTAGGGATATGAGAGTGGGAGGGATACTGAGAGAGGATGGAACGCGAGACTGTAGACCCAGATAAATGGAGGTGTCTGGATGCTAGAGGGTGTGAGCTGGGAAATTAGAAAGTAATGGCCAGGGAGAGAGATGCTTGAAACTCACTAATCCATAACTACTTAAAGTTATTACCAATCATATGCAGAGCTTATTCTATACTTATTATACATACATAAGTATTACAGTCATCCTAGAATTCAGAGAAATCTTTAGCCCCATGAAGAGTCAGGAATTGTGTTGCAAGAGTTGCATCACTGGAACTAGCAAAGTGTAAAATTCAAATCTCCCACAGAGTTTACCTGTAGAAATCACAGCCTAATAAAGGTGAGCTTTGCATTTTATTTGCTAATAATTCTCTGTATCTCACTAAGTGAAGGCAGCAGAGATTCCAACTGGCTACAAGTTCGAAGACTGGCATGATATTTAGCTTGCCTACATGTGAGAAAACTTGAGGCAAAGGGTTTTTTTTTTTTTTTTTCTTCTCAGAAAAGGGGCTAGGAAGCTTGTGGAAATCAAAGCAGCTCAACAAACCTCTTATTATTAGAATAATGACCATGACATTCAATATCCTTCAGGGCCCGGTCTTTGATTTTGGCACTTTTGGCCACTTTGAAATTAAATCAAACAATATGGAAGAAAAAAGAATATAGAACAAAAGACAAAACCAGGTCATATACCAATTTTACTTTTCAAGGTTGAACGAGAGAAAAATAAGATCAAAGTAAGCTTTCCTTAAGCTCTAACTAATGTTCCATCCTTCTGCTTCTGAAGAAAAATGTGTTTTTCTGTGGTTTTATAATAAATCTAAAACACTATCATTTTTAGCATGAAACACTAAGTAATTGCTCTGCCAAAAATAGTCACCCTATGCAACAACCATCTAAGTTTGTTTTAATAATCATCAGATACCAACTACCACTGTGTCAGAGCCCTCAGTACAGCAGTACAATTATCTGTTGTTTAAAATAGATGTCCTAAGTACGTTATCTAAGTGAACAAAAGCATAAACATTTCAACTATCAAATCATCAGAACTGCTTAGGCAAGCATAAATATCTCCTGGCTCCAATGTATCCCTTATGGAATTTTTTTCTCCTATTTCTCGCTCTGCTGTTGCAATTATAGCAGACCCATGCTGAGATAATGAATTTATGGATCTTCTTTTTATAGCTTAAGTGCTTTTCATTTCTTAAGAAGTAGAGGTTTATTTCCAGGTAGTGATACATTTTAATACAGTTCAAATACAGGAAAAACAGGATGTTTAGCAAAATCAGGATTATAAGAAGTCAGTCATACCATAAAGGAAAAATAAATTGAACTTAGTTAAGGACTCAAGCCTCTCCAATTGGATTGCATTAGAGAAGGTTATTATTCTTTTATACACTTGATGTTATTGGTATTTTTCTCACTTTCACCAGGAAACTGACTTCTCCAAGCCCTATGTTCATTTTCCAAACAGTCCTTTGGTTTTGCAGAGTGAAGAACCCCTCCAGGGTTATGTTCAACTCAGTGACTAACTAGCTGGTTTAGAAATTTCCCCTATTTTAGGCTCCATCTTCACATCACTGAAAGACCACTGTCTTGACTAACAAAGGTGACATACCATAGAGGATTACAGAAAAATACAAGAGAAACCAAGTCCTACTCTAGCTTCCTTTGGTGAGATCATTTCTTTCAGATTGGTATCAGATTCCATTTAATACTGTCCATTCTGAGATCTTTCTTTTTCCCTCCACAGAAGGCCTCTCAACTGTCACTCTGACAAGTCGGCCTTTTTCTGATGTCCCTAAGTGCCTGTTCTACCAAGGACTCAGATAAGAATTGGAGATGAGTGACTAGGTTAACTGATAAAATTGCTAATTAAAGCCCTGCTTTCAACACTCCTGAAAGATTCACCAACTGGGCCAAAATTCAGAACATAGAGGAAGTTTTACTTTTAACAGTTACACTGCTTGGTAAACAAAAGGCTTTCACAATTTCAAAGAAAGTAATGTCAAGATATTTCCAAAGACATTTTTCCCTCCCATGAGGTACGGAAATGAGACAAGTTAGTCAAAGCTTCGTAGCTTTTCTTCCTCGTGAACACTGCCGCTTGGCAGGGAAGCACAGAGGTTGATAACTAAACATTTATACATCATGTGAGAAAAACACAAATATAGAAACGTGTTTTTCTTTAAAAAAATAAATCTAATAATTTCTATTTTAGAAATTATTGTAATGAGAAATGAAAAAATTGTATTTCTGACTTTCCCAGTCAGGTAACTGTCAGAGACAGTATCATGGGGTGATTTAGAGCAGGGACTCAGGAGCCAAAAGCCTGGCTTTAGAACCTATTTCTGCTACTTCCTAGCTGGGTCACCTGGAGCTAGTTATCTAACTTCTCTATGCCTCAGGTGTCCCATCTGGAAAACTGGAAGGACAGTAATAGTACCTACCTCATAGTGTTGTAATGAGGGTTAAATGAATTAAATCTATCAAATACTTAGAAGAGTATGAGACACATAATCACAGAATGTATCTTATTATTCTTAAGAGTCTGTAAACAAAAATGATCTTTAAGTTTCTGAACATAAGATTTAACTCCCCTAAGTGTGTTTGTATTATAATGAAAGATAGCTAGCTTCTCAGAGCCTTTCTTTTTTTTTTCCATTTTTTATTTAAATTCAAGTAATTAACATATAATGAATGTATTATTGGTTTCAGAGGCAGAGGTCAGTGATTCATCAGTCTCATATAATACCCAGGGCTCTCAGAGCCTTTCAACACCATTCGGTACTTGAACTAATTTGATCACGGGATCTTTTTCCATAAAGGGCCTTGAGTCGATTTCATACCAAGAATATCCTCATCTATAAAATGAATCTCTGGTATGATTGTTAATCTTTTTCCCCACTCAAATGATCATCAGCCTTAAACTCCTGACTTCCTCAGCGCACTGGCTAATGATCATCCTCTTGTGACTTTTCTCCCTCTGCGTTATAAATCCACCAAGGGCCTAACCCCAAATGTGAATGTCACCCACTCTGCTGGGAAAAGTCCATGCAGATCTATCTCTGGTGTAATTTTTTTTTTTCATTTGTAAAAAGAAATGGGTTCATTTCCGCTGAGGACTCTATCCTTTCCCGGAACCGGTCAATCCTTCCAGCGACAGACACGTGGTGTGTAGACGGCGTAGGGAAAGAGAGGTGGAGTGTGGATGGGCAGGAGGGGGAGAAAACAGAGAAGAAACACAGCCTCCCCAGGTTTTCCCTTGCCTGTTGCCCGGTCTGAAAGAGGAAGTGCATTAAAATGGGACCATCTTTGATATCACTTCTCATGTGGCTGGAAGCAGGATTCTCGCAGTTCAAACGTAGGGTGTTCAGACTGTATTAAAACATGAGGCTCGGGAACATCAAAGGCTACTCGTGGGTGGTTTGGGCCAGGACGAGGTCACCACTGCCCTCAACCGTAATAGGTGTGGAGACACTGTGTACCTGCAAGATGGTGGTGTTTGCTTTTCTTCTGCTGATAAATGTGGCGCTGGGGGAAGAGATGCCTTTGGGTGCCTGAGGAATGATCTACTGTAAAAGGTTTAACGGCAGACAGGTATCAGGTTAGGGTTACGGGGGCAACTTTTTGAACGGGGATGTCCTTTGTTCTCAGAGAATAGGCTTCTTAAATTGGTGGTGCAAGGACAGACTTTGATAAGAAAGGCTTCCTGCATGACCACCAAATTTTAAAAAAGGCAATATAATTCTGGCAATAGGTCATTTGGATGACATCAAGGAAGGACAGAAAACCTGAGAGTAGGTTAACCTCTTTTTGCTTGTTTGTACTTAAATATCTTTATCTTACATTAGTTGCACAACATTCATCTTAAATATATTTTTTTTGCAATAGCATAAAATTGAGGTAAGAAAACTCGGCATAGTTTCCACTAGCAGGTTCTAAGAAATAACTTCTCTATTTACTATTTATTTCTATTATATGTATCTATA